ATTGACCACCCCTGCCCAGCAAGAGCAAACTCTTTTGATTTTTAAAGTTTGCACACAATTGTTTGATGGGTTCGTTGAGTTTCAAAATCTCCTTGAATTGCTCGGAGACCTTAGAAAGGCCCTCCATAATCTCCTCACGCCTCTTCTGCTTAGAGGCTCTATCCTCACTAAGAGACAAAGCGAACATGACCATAGCAACAAACTGGGACGTGTAGGCCTTGGTAGAAGCTACACCAATTTCTGGTCCAGCGTTGATGTGCACACCGCAGTGAGTGAGAAGTGAGATGGAGGACCCTACAACATTAACAATACCAACAGTTAATGCCCCGCGTTCGAGACAGTAGCGCAAGGCCATGAGGGAGTCAGCAGTCTCGCCAGACTGAGAAACGAAAACGCACGTGTCGTCACGGAATACTGGCGCCTGTCTATCCAGGAAGTCGGAAGCAAGTTCGACAGAAATAGGAATCTCAGTAAGTTCTTCAAAGACTCCACGCACAGCCATGCATGAATGGTAGCTAGTTCCACAGGCAACGAATATAATTCTTCTGCAGCGGCGGATAGTAGAAATGTACTGCCGCAGGCCACCAAGTGTAACTTGCTTGTTTGCAACATCCAGCCGTCCTCTCATGGTGTTGATCACAGACTCAGGTTGCTCGAAGATTTCCTTTTGCATGAAGTGGTCGAACTTGCCCTTCATAATCTCCTGCAATTCGAGTTCAATCGTCTGAATAGCGCGAACGTTAGAAGTACCGTCATCTTTTGTGAGGCGATGAATGTTCAACTGTCCCTCATGCACATGAGCGATATCATCATCTTCGAGATAGAGGACCTTCTTCGTATGCTCGACAATTGCAGATGGATCAGAAGACAAGAAAAATTCAGCCGGTTGGGGGATGCCATCGTCGGAAAGGAAAGCACGAGACTGTGACCTATGCAAAAGGGACTTGTCAGGTGGAGCGAGGAGGCCAGTCGCAGACTTCTTGATGGCCACGTTCTGTGAAGCCTGCTCCGCAGGAAGGGCTCCATCTTCAGAGTATTCGACGTCCACGAAATCCACCTTCATTTTCTTCGATGTTCTCACACCAATCACAAGTGGGGACCCCTTGCGAGCCGCGATGACCTCATGGGGGTAATGTACGGACTTGATGAGAAGCCCAAACGCGCCCTCGAGCTCCTTCACAACAGCCTTAGCCAAAACTGTAAATTCGATATCGGGCTGTTGGTCATAGAGATATTTGGTGAGCTTTGCAATACATTCGGTGTCTGTGTCAGTCTCAAAGCGGAAACCTTTGCTCTCCAACAAAGCCTTGAGCTCTTTGTAGTTGGTAATGATACCATTGTGGACAACTGAAAATTCCCAGTTCAGATCGGACCTGCATCCCGGGAACATTAGCAAACAATCTTGATGCTAGTCGAGTTTATTCGACCGTGGAACATCGGACTCACCTGTGTGGGTGGCAGTTCAAGCGGGAAGGCGTCCCATGAGTGGCCCAACGAGTGTGAGAAATACCAGCATGAGATTCGAAGGATTTGGTCAAGTCGGGCTTGCACTCATCAATGAGTTCCCTAAGCTTAGCAACCTTGCCCACTTCCTTGAAAGCACAAACTTCATTCTTCTTGTCGCCATCTATGGCGAGGCCCGCAGAGTCGTAGCCTCGGTATTCAAGGCGCGAGAGTCCTTTGACATGTCAGAAGAATACACAAACAATCTCAAAACCAAAGTAAAAAGGTGTGAGGGTGATAACAACGGAAATGCTAACCATTGAGAAGAGTGTCAAGAATATACTTGCGGTCCCTCTCGACGAGGTAGTTAATGTAGCCGAAAATGCCGCTAAGGGTTATTTAGTTACAGCAAGTATTTAGTTAGCCTGGGTGTTCGGAAACGTACCACATGGTTAAGGTATGTTAAGAAAGAAAGCGAGTTAAGGCGTAGAAGGGGGTGACTAGACGTTGTAATGCTTCAATAATAAACGCTGCCTCCAGATACTGAAAGCAAGCCACGTAAACGGTAGTGGGGTTTCTCAAAGTGCACTCTGGAAGGGAATATACTATCAACAAACAAATTCGAAGATACTCTGGAAGGATAACATAAAACACACTTCAGATAATCCAGCTGGAGAATTAATATGTGATAGTCTTAAAGGGCGGTGTGGCGAGTAAGAGAAGGAAGCGAGGAGAGAGAGAAGTTGATAGTAAAGGGGAGAATAAGTAGATCGACAATCTGTTGGAAGGAGGGGGAAGAGCTATGTTTTATGTTGTGAGATCGGCCCACACAGAGACCAGGGAAGCTGCTATGGACCGGCTCCAGGGCGCAGCCATTCATTCAACGTTGATCTGGCCAATAATGTGCCTTTTCTGCACCTTACACAGTTTGTTAGACCTACTGGTATGTTTCACTCGTGACTCTCGGCTGGAGACCTTCCATGGCATGGACATGTTGCTAAGTTTACCTACTAAAATTAAACAGGTCATTGGCTCCACTAACAGATCAAAAATAACATCTCGACTATTAGGGACCTAGCAATATTCTTCCCTTCCCTGCTCCATAGATTTTTATTCGTATTGTAGAAACACTCCATACAGGACTTCTTCTTTGGACGCTAGGCAGATACATACAGTATGCAGTATTATGTACTATTAGCGTGTACATGGAACAACTTTTATCTATTACCTGTGGGTCTATAAGTTGCCATCATCAGGAAAGGGAAAACAGAAAAAGAAAGGGAAAGGGAGAAAAAAAAAAAAAAAAGAAAAGAAAAGGAAAGGAAAAAGTAAAAAGGGTTGTTAGCCCCTCGGCAGTTCCTGTGCGGCTGATATGCTACCCTTAATCCTGACATCTCACGGTCTCACCATAATCATCTAACTACTTGAGTAGGATTGGGTTCAGTACAGTTATAGACCTCTCAATCATGAATCAAAGTCAGAGGCTGTCCACATTGATAAATCTATGAGTATCTTCCGGTATACGTATAAATATTTATCAGTGACATTATGTAGGCTGTAATTGTACTGTAAAAAGGGTGGGAATGAAACACGAAATGAGGACAATCGAGTACTCATCCGGTATCCAATAAAGGCCTGGTCTGGTACCGACAGCCGCTGTTGCCACGTTCATATTCTAGTTCTTCCCGTCATCAAAACTGAGACGCTCAGAAGAACAATGCCCCTTTCTCTTGAAGCCAATTACGACTAGGGGTCCCTTTCCTCATGCTCCTAAATATGAGTTCTTGATCGCAACTACTACTAGCTGCTATTCCTCCTTTTTAAGAAGGAGGGGTAGGGAGGGAAGGGAGAAGGAATGGCTCAAATCATCTTCACTGGATACCGAATTATACTTCAGTGTTCCAGGCCCTCTCGCTAGACAGTTTCCTTGATACTTCTTCGGTGGCAAATACTTTTATTTCTTATGTTTTGTTTTATTCCTATCTTTCCTCTTTTCTTTTCTTTTTTGAAAAAGGGGTGGAGGGGTTATCTAGTTCCAGTATCCATTGAACCAGGGGCGAAGCATGCTGGGTTTATTTTTATGATGTTCTAGGGTTTCGGTCCTTGAAGTTACTATTTTTATACATTGTTATCGAGGCTTGGTCATCTCCCTCTCTTTAAACTATTGCTATCACTTTAGGGCTGTAAAACACTAGCACTGTAATATATACCAGAGTACAGAGTACTATGAAGTATACTCCGTAGTCTGGATCTTATGGAATACAAAATAGTCTAAACATCCCGTCTCTATACTTATTCCGTAGATGAAAAAGGTACTATTTCCTGAAAGGATACATCCGGTACATTACACGAGATGAAGTGGGTATATATGCATCATGTATTATTTTGGGGTCAATAGATGACCAAACCATTTCATTAGCTTCAGTATTATCACTGAAGGTCAGCGCATTGTCATCTGCGAAGGAAGTTGGTAGAATCTGGCCAGATACCAGCTGGGCAATCAGTTTCCTTAGGTGGCCACTCTAGTATGTAAGTGTTGATCACTTTCAGCTGTACTGCGTACCTGGGATTCAAAGTACTTGACTTGTATTTGCGTCCTTACATTGTGGAATGTTGACAAGTCACAAACTCAGGCAGGTTAAGCGCAAGCTTGTATACCCATAACAATACCTGCTTCTATACCATTCCAGGCAAGGCATTTTAATGCCCTTCTTCATTCCTGGCACTGTCAATGCTCACCAGAGATTACTGTCTTTTAAAGCCATTGTTCTCTATAAACAACAATTATGTACTTGTACAATGAATACACTGGCTGGTTAAACATGGTGAATACTAGTATCTATCTCTGGGTTATACCAAAATTTTCTCCTTCTTGGAATGCTATGCATTTTGGTGGGTGGGGCTTTCAACAATCAAGCACTCTCTTGTTTGTTCTTCTTATCGGTTTAGAGCCGTGCACGGCAAGTCCTGTAGTCTTGTAGGACCGTAGTCATATCCAGTGATGATCATCCAACTCATCAAGAATCACCTCTCAGCATCCAAAGCTCCAGCATATACAAAAGTCACTAGATTTCCACATGTTCTATGTTGTCAGACTACCACTTCTCCATCGAGGCATTGCGACACGTATGTATTTGCTGAAATTATCTTCTAAGAGTAGGTGGAAGGAGTGAGGTGGCATTGGTTGAGATAAATGAAGCCCTTGGTGAGAGGCGTCCCCAAGTAACTATCTGGCCCTAATATGTTAGAAGTGTTTTTGTGGATAGAGTGTACAGTGTATACAGCTAAAAGCCGGTGTCAATTATATCTATTTAATGTGATTTTGACATCCACGATTAATATCCTTCACACGGAAAGATTTCAAGTAGGTCTCTTCTAAATAGTAGGATATTATCCAGGGATCTACAAGAAACTGGCTGCTTGTATAGATAGCATAAATTAGATTCAAATTAATTGGGGCCTTAAGAAGGCGGAGTACGAATATCCCTAAAAGAAAAAGACGAGGACAGACAGATTGAGAACAATGAGTAACTAATTATCTAATTGTAAGTATCTCCGAGCTATTAAAATTGAACACTGAAGATAGTAAATATTCAAGATTGAAGTCCATCGTGTTCACTTTTACTTGCGTGTTGACTATTTACGCGAATGAACTTTGCAGCATGTGCTCTGGTTCCAGGATCTAAGCAGTGACTTTGGCAACACTTTCTTCCCCTCGCTCCCAAGGGAAAGGGAAAGAAGAGAAAATCAAGGGCTACTCCTCGCATGTTCAAAAATACATTAACACAGAATACTGCAATAATCCTTTTGCCTGCCAGTGGGTTGCAGTCTTTCCAGCGAGGCTCCATGAGATCCCCTCCCCCACCGCTCTAGCTTTGGTCATGAGTTTCTTCGCGTTTTGGTTCCTTTATCGCGTTGGTAAGGCGATTCAAGAGCACATCTAATGGACGCTTTTCTTGCGATTTATGAACTGCCTAAACTCTCGCAATCCTTGGGCTCACGTCAATTAACCGCTCCCCTTTGCCTTTAATAAGCTACCGCCTTCCACCTTTTTTTTCACAACGTCCGTACCCGATCTCTTCTGCCGGATTTAGTTCCACCTTGTACGGTTTACACCAGGGAAGATACCTGGCCTTATGACTGCGCATTAGCCGAATACAACGGTTAAGGATGCTGCCTTCTGATCGCAGCTGGTCTGATTTTGGCTCGTAGCCATCTCTCAGTATGTCGCGCTCCTCGGCAGGCTTTGCAGACTTCTTCCCTACTGCGCCGTCTGTCCTTCAGCAGAAACGATTTAAAGTAACTAGGGAGCGACCGCGACCTAAAGCCCAAATTGATAGTGAACATAGAGATGAATCATCAACGTGCCCCACGGAAACAAAGGCCATTCTCAACTTGTCTAACGGTGGTGCATCTCTGGATTCTGGGCAAATATCTTCTACTGATTTAAAGAAAACGTCACCTGAATCGTCTGTCGAAGGCTCTGCAAGTTCCACAACAGAGGATCATTCAGCCCTGAGCTTATCTGTTGCTCAGCATGGCGCGATTTCGCATGAAGCGCGTCTTGACACCTTAACTCCTCTTACCAATGCAGAATCATCGCCTCCTCATAAAGCAAACTCACCCCGGAATAAAATAGCAGAAGGCATTGTTGCAACTACTACTATCGACACCAAGAGTGGAATAACCCCTCTTCATACCCCCCCAACACCACAGTCTCAAGGCCGTCGCACTGGAAGCATCAGAGGTTACAAGCTGGTCTATGACCCTGACACCGAAAAACGATCATCTTCGAAAGAGAAGCGAAAAAAGCCCCGTTATGTCGATATTATTCTGAGCGAGCAAGACAATTGCCCACCAGATCCTCGCCTGGGAATTCCAAATTATATGCGAGGTGCCGGTTGCAAGCAGAAGAGGAAATATCGACCAGCGCCCTATACCCTAAAGCCTTGGCCTTATGATGCTTCAACGACAATAGGGCCCGGTCCTCCTGCGCAGATAGTTATCACTGGTTTTGACCCGCTCACTCCAATTGCGCCGATCAGCACCCTGTTCTCGAGCTTCGGAGATATTGGCGAGATAAATAACCGCACCGATCCGATTACTGGCAGGTTTCTTGGAATATGCTCAGTAAAGTATAAAGACAGCGCTTCATTTCGGGGTGGCGGTCCTGTCGTTGCAGCAAGCGCGGCTAGGAGAGCGTACTACGAATGCAGAAAAGAGCAGCGCATTGGGACACGAAGAATCAGAGTTGACTTGGATCGCGATGGGGTTGTTTCAGACAGATTTGTGGCAAGGGCAATTGAGTCCCAGAGGATGGGACAGAAAAGCAATCTTCCATCTACAGAAGATGTGAGATCTGATTCGGAAACAAAGAGAAATGAGCCTCCTCCGACGGCGCCGAAAGGTCCTTCAGGAAAATCCTCTGTTCGCCCTCTAGTTGCAATTCCTGAAGGACCGAGGGCAAATTTCCTTAAACCCGTCATGCCATCTTTGGTCGAGGAAGTGCCCATTTTGAGTCAGATCAAAAGGGATCCGTATATTTTTATTGCTCATTGCTATGTACCAGTCCTTAGTACAACAGTTCCGCACCTTAAGAAGAGGCTCAAGCTGTTTAACTGGAAAGACATTCGCTGCGACAAGACTGGGTACTATATTATATTTGAGAACTCTAGGCGCGGTGAGGAGGAAACTGAGCGCTGCTACAAAATGTGCCACATGAAGCCTCTATTCACCTATATCATGAATATGGAAAGCCAGCCTTATGGCAATCCCAGCTACGAGCGCAGTCCAAGTCCTGAGCGATGTCGAGCAGAACAACGCGAGCGAGCAGAAAGAGAGAGACTAAAAAGAGAAGTGGGTCTTGATATCGAAGAAGAGAAAAGGCAGCGAGCGGTTGACCTTGATCCCTGCCGAGAAGTATTAACCATCATAATTCGGGACCTGAAAGATAAACTTCTTGAGGATGTGAAGTCACGCATTGCGGCACCAGCCTTGTATGATTATCTCGACCCTGATCGGCATGCTCTGAAAAGGAAAACGTTAGGTATCGCTGACCCGGAGGGGATCAAGAGACCCATGTTTCGAATTGATGATTCATTCGGAACACCAGACTCGCGGTCAGGGTTATCAGATGCAAGGCGTCCTTTCAGTGGATCTACTCCAAATATTCTTGCACTTCCGCGTATTCGGAAGGCTCGTCATCTTGGTCGCACAGATACTGCTTTCTTGGATGAAAGGCGCAAGCAACCGCTGCGGAGAAGAGAGGTCCGGCCACTGTATCACCGACTACAACAGTTGCATGACGTTGACGACTCAGATGATGAGCAGCGAACACCAAAGGATACGGATGAGCAAGACAGCCGGCCTCCAAGTCGGATGAGTTCAGGCACCTCGGAATCTGATGATGGCGACGGATTTGTTTCCCAGGCTTTGGGCATCCCAGTTGTAGAATTGGCTGGCTCAGGTCAAAGTCAAGAGCCTGATGAGATTTTGAAGGACAACCAATCGGTAGGCCAAAGTTCACAGCTTGAAAACCACGAAATCTCGCCAGAGTTGCGGAAGCGGAAAAGAGCCAGCGAAGAACTCGAGGCGCGCAAGAGACAGAAGGAAGATGACGAACTTTTTGGCATTAACCTCATTGCAGAAACTCAAGTCGAAGGCGCCCAAATCAACACAACCCCTATAGCTGTGGACATAAATCTCAAAGATTCAGAAGCTGCTTTGAGTATCCTTCCAAAAGAGAGTAATGATAACCGGCAAGAGACGGAAGAAGCCAACCATTTGGACTTTGATAGTATTGATATTACGTCCTCAACGATAGAGAAAGACCGCCGTGGTATACTAGCTCCTCTTGACGATGTCGATAATGCGGCGGTGCGCGAAGAATCCCGAACAGGGGTAGAATGGCGAGTGTCGAATGACCAACCTAGGCCCATTGTCGATGATGACGACGCAATAATCATGGATCTCGACGGATGGCAGAATCTAATAAAAGACGATGAAGATCTGCACTTTCTTCGAGATATCCTTGTTGGATATCCCGAATCCAACGTTGGGAATTTGTCGGCTTGGGCATGGAGGCAGAAGGAAATCAAAGCCCTCAATCATCCCGGCGATGTGGGGCTTGTGCGTGGAGAGACTGGCATTGCAGGTTATTACGTGCCCAATACAACAGGTGCTGCTCGAACAGAAGGAAGGAAGAAAATATTGGAGTCAGAGAAGTCAAAATACCTGCCACATCGTATCAAAGTCCAGAAGGCACGTGAAGAGCGTGAGGCCAGAGCAAAGAATGATCCGCATACTGCTGCAGTTGAGGCTGCAAGAGTTGCTGCGGCAAAGAACATATCTAAGTCTACTTCCAGGTCTACACGAGTTAATAACCGCCGATTGATTGCAGACATCAATGCACAGAAACAGGCCCTTCCCACTCAATCCGGAGACGGCGACGTCCTTCGCTTCAATCAGCTGAAGAAACGAAAGAAGCCAGTACGCTTTGCTCGGTCAGCTATTCATAATTGGGGCCTCTACGCCGAAGAGAATATATCAGCAAATGACATGATAATTGAATATGTAGGTGAAAAAGTGCGGCAGCAGGTTGCGGACATGAGGGAGAGACAGTATTTAAAGAGTGGAATCGGCAGCAGCTACCTTTTCCGCATTGATGAGAACACGGTTATAGATGCTACAAAGAGAGGGGGCATTGCTAGGTTTATCAACCATAGCTGTACACCGAATTGCACTGCCAAGATCATTAAAGTTGATGGTAGCAAGCGTATTGTTATATATGCTTTGAGAGACATCGAGAGAGGTGAGTTTGGCAGAAGCACATAATACCGCGATGGTAAACAGGTTGACTTACTAATCTCTGCAGATGAGGAGCTGACGTATGACTACAAATTTGAAAGAGAGTGGGATAGTGATGATAGGATCCCATGCCTTTGTGGCTCAACCGGGTGCAAAGGGTTCCTTAACTGAGATGCCCAGGCGCATGTTCTCTGCACACAGGACATCTCACCTGTCTGCCGGCCTCTGTTGCCCCCTCTTTATGTTCCATTTCTTTCGCTCAACTTAGCATAATATCCGGACTTGTTTGACAGATGCAGCGTTGGTATTATGGCGTCTTGGCCGAGGCTTGGGTTAGCAACTGTTCACATAAACTGGCCCATGCGTGATTTTCTGCGTTCTCGTTTCCATTGTTGTATGCGGTTCCCATCACGGTAATGCTTTGTATTTCATATTATTTCTGAATCAACTGCAACAACCATGTACCATATAGCTTTCACCACTTGGCTCTTCGTCACGTCACACATAAGCTTCTTTATGATATATGCGATTCAGGCAGGCACAAACGACGCTGGCGGGGATTGTAACATGTAACACGGAACTTTTCCGGGAAAGTATCTGATATACTAATGAGGCAAGGACAGGGAACAAGATCTCCCATGCTATTGTAACCTGACACTCAGCTTGCCGCGCGTAATGGAACAGGATATGCAGAAGATTTAAACTAAGAAAAGTCAGCACGTGCAGGATGGAAAGGTAACGAGGCTACAGACCCAAATGACTTGGTAGAAGGAAGTTTGCAATCCCCTCTTTGATCAAGTATTCATGCCCACAATTACCACAAGTCAATTTTCCCTCAAGAATTTGCGTTTCCAATAATAGTCGATGAAGCTCCTTTAATATTTGCTCATCTCTGAGCTCATCGCCCTCGGGCTTCTTATCCATGATTCTGGGGAACCCAAGCTTGTAATAAGTGAGCGCTATCCTTATCTGAACACATCGCATAATAGCGCATGGATTTACTTACCTCATTTGCCATTGTCTGCAACGCATGCCAATCAATCCGAGGGACAATGTTACGGATAAAATCGGGTTGAAAATCAATCTCCTGCAGCTCAAGCTCCGCATCCCTAAAATGAAGTGGGAACGACTCCGGTGATGCCTTGCACCCTTTGACGGCACAGGTCAAAAAATTGGCAGTAATCAGCTTCATTGAGTCTGTTTAAACTATGGGTATGCCAAAGCGATTTTTCAGTTGAGAATGGAGCATGTAAGAGCAGAGAGACACTAGAGGATATGGCTGGGGGCAAATAATCTCACAGCGGAAGGGGAACAAAAATCTACTACCAAAAATTTCCAACTTGGAGAGTACTCTCACGGGTAATGCAAACTCCCAACCAAGAGTACACAGTCAATTGCTGGTCATCTATGATGTATATATTTACGAACGCTTCGTGTAACAAATACATTTTCATGATATCGAATTTACCTCGTCTCATTTCAGCTATCGAACATTATGCATCTAGCATGGCCTAGTTTCAAGCCAATAAAACCTATCATATACATTATTACACGGGTAGAAGAAACGGTCTGTTGACCACCCATTAGAACAAGCCCTGTTCACTTCAATGAGTAAACAAAGGGAGAAAGGCGTCCACAGCATTCCACAATTCATTTGATCACGACATCCACGAGGTCGCCATCTACCATGTCATACATAGACAGGCAAGAACTGGGATCTAACCGATCACCATCGAACACTAGGTACACTTCCAGATTTTCCGGTATTTCTTTTGTATCACGAAAGATAGTGACAAGTCGCGAGATTTGCATTCTTGAATTAACATTTAATTCCATGTCGCCGGCCCTTGGGCACTTCAAAACGACCCTTGTTGATGGAAGCCTGCTGCTGCCATCAGTTGCGGTAGACTCTTGGGCCAATGCAGAATAACTTTCATGCGAAGCCTGCCAATCATCCGTTGACATTACATTGTCTTCGATAACAGCTTCCATGTGAATACGGATGTCTTCTTTGCTGCCATGATGAACACGATCGCCATAAATTGAACTGTCAGCGAGGCCTTTTGGCACGCTAAGTCCCAAGCTCCTGCATGTTGTGACATCAAATAACCTCCTGCCCTTCCAAGTCAGGAGTATGGATGACTGCATCTCTTTCGGTATGCTCTGACGGTTGCACCATGCAAGACGAACATCTCTTAGTGACTGAGACATTTTTCGGTGGATTATCAACGGCTTCGTGCTTTCGATTTTGGAGGTGATAAGAATCTGAACAACCGCATCATATTCCATAGAATCAGGATGTTGATCTGTGTGGATTGCAACTTTTCCCTGATTCTTTCGAGCATCACAAGAAACAGGGGTCTTGCCGATTGCCATTATCGTCTTGGCTATTTCTGCATTGGTACTTGGGTAGGGCCGAATACCCCTAGTGTTCATGGAATCAGCTTTCGAGCCAGCAGCGCTAACTTTCTCTGTTGGCAATTGCACGGGCGTCCGGCAGTCATTACGATCACCTATGTCTGATGGGGTCTTGCAGGAATCAAAGCTGGATGGAGATCCGCCTTGTATATCGCTTTTCTCTTGGCTGTCGCCAGGAAGAACTCGGGACGCGGTTTCTCTTGACAGCGGTTCCTGTGAGATGTGTCGACGCTTACAAACCTTACCGTCCTCTGTAGTAAGACTGCCAGAACGACATAGTGGACTATCTCGAGCTTCCTTACTTGCAGCAACAATGTCTGCGTACGTCTGGCCAGCGCGACGGTAGAAATCATTAGAGTCCAGATCGTCACCTCCCCTTGTTGCCCACGAAGGCCTCTTGAAAAATGACCGCATGGTCTTCAAAATAAGTACAAAAAAGATATATGGGGTGTTCTTCCAATTAGCAGGACGACTCCACCTGAAAAGAATATCAAGGTGAGGATATGTTTGGGTGCCTAATAACTTAGGCGGTCACTTTTGCACTGCGAAAGATACCCTTTCGACAGGCGCCTGTCTAAGGTAGCAAAGTATGACGGTGGACGAAGTAATGTGAAAAAGTCTGAATGACGTGTGTTAATTGGACAGGTGTTCTGACCCTAACACTATTTAATTCTAGTTCAGTCCAGTATCCACAGTACGGTCTTGTACTGTGTAGAATATACCAGGAATTGTATAGTAGTACGGAGGACTCCGTGTATACCTGTCTCTGTCCCACTTACCATAGTAAAAATGGTAGGCGGTAGGACAGGTGCACGCCCCCCCCCTTTTGGGGGTGCCAAAAACTTATTACCTCCCACTGTACTCTGTCCGTACTCTAACTTTGTTTTGATTGAGAGAGAGAAGCATGGGCAAACGAGTGATTTCTCAAATCATAGGTACTCGTCAGCATCAAGAGAAGTTGTGAGTATGTAATCGCCACGCTTTGTGCCGTCTTTAACCTAGATGACACTTTGATGTAAGGAATACTTCATAGTATTCCTTACATTCATGCCTACATAGCAAGATTTCATCATATCAGCTACTGCATGTTACAGCGGATGCTAAATAACTAACATCCGATGATGTATAACTAACGCATTACCTGGGCACAAATGAGGCCTCGACACTTCCAATCAATTGAGCCACACCAGATTCACATGAAATCGGAAAGAAAGACTCGGCTGAATCTATGTACTGTATTTTTAAATCTGCAGGAATCCGGTGTTTGACTGGTATCCCATTAGCTGGTTCCCCTTATGCCGCGCTGCATGTTGACTGCTTCGGTGACTCAGGACTATGGAATAAGTAGATTATCAGATACCTACATAAACTTGAGTAGTCTGGGGCCGCAATAGATATGTTATCGCGGTCTAAATAGTAAATCTAGGTAGTTAATGAATAATTTATTACAGATGTCTTTCTAGTCTAGATATGATTATATTATCAGTCTATTCCTTATGATGAGCTACATTAATAGTGACTCACTCCATGAAATAGGGTGACTTAATACAAAAATTGTCGACAAACCCTCAATACCTCTCCTCCCTACGGAACAGGTTCTACTACCACCTATGTATATATTAGCAGTAGATGTGCAAAATCAGGTGACTATAAAGGCTAGGATCCTAGCTTCGGAACCACAATAAACCTGTTTGGTTATGAAAACGCCCCTCCCCCAAAAACCTTTATAAATACGGTCTAGCAGTCCTACTAAAGCCATGTCGCACGAGAAAGACAATCAAGATGACTCAAACATCATACAAGTGGGTTTCTCCTGGGATGGATGTTAAATTCCTTTTGATGCAGTTTATGGACTTGCTTGTATGCTTAAACAGATTGCATTAACACTGAGTTACAGGCATTTAATGATCTTTCCAAGTACAGAGACCCTGCTGCTCTATAACTGTTCCTATGACCCTAACTTGTACTTCCCAGAGGCGAGAAAACCGCTCTAGCGCTGGAGAATCACCTAAGCAGCCTAGAACGCAAAATTGACGAACTGCTTAATGGCATCGAAGGGACACGTCAACCGCAACCCACGACAGGAAAGAATAATTGCCAGGGCAAATGCGGGGTTTCGGCTACTTCTCAGGCTTTGAACAGCTCCTCTAAGTGAAATAATCCATCAGAGTCCTTTTCCACCACTCCCTTTTCAGTTATAATACCATCGATAAGAGCCCCTGGGGTTATATCGAATGCTGGATTCCATACATTGATCCCTTTCGCTGCTATGCATACGGTTTCCATTTTGACGGCTTCGGAGTCACCGTCTTCGCAGGTGCCCCTGACCATAGTAACCTCGGATGCGGGCCGCTCCTCGATAGTGATTTCATTCCCCGACTTGGTGACTAGGTCGATAGTTGTGAGCGGCGCAGCCACGAGGAATTTCACACCATGGTATTTTGCAAGCACGGCAAGCCCATATGTACCAATCTTATTTGCGGTATCACCATTAGCTGCTACCCTGTCTGCCCCCACCACAATTGCATTCACAGCTATCTCAGCTCTAGCGAGCAATGCAGCTGCCATTGAGTCTGTTATTAAGGTAGCAGGAATACAGTCATGAACCAGCTCAAATGCTGTCAAGCGGGAGCCCTGGTTGTAAGGTCTCGTTTCGGTACAATAGGCATGCCGTAAGGTATCGGTTGAAGAGAGTGCACGAATCACCCCCAGGGCTGTCCCGAACCCCGAGGTCGCGAGAGAACTGGCAACATGATTAGGAAAGTCTGATTATAGACAATGGCACACTTACCCTGTATTACAATGCGTAAGAACCGTAGCCTTAGTAACGTTCTTAGATAGAGCATTCTCTGAGATCCATTTGGCACCATATGCTCCAATATTTCTATTATCTTCAACATCTTTCACAAGCATTGCTTCGGCGGCTCGGATAAACGCAGTAGCAACGGCGTGGCCTGTGGGCTCAGGCATCTTCACACTTTCTGCCACTATGGTCTCCAGTTTTCCTGCTGCATCACTAAGGTTGACTGCTGTAGGTCTGCTGCTCACCAGATAATGTAACTTCTCCGTTATAAAAGTCTGTGTTTCTATAGCATTCGAGGGTAGATTGTTGCAAGTTATTAGAGTGGTAAGCTCTGATGCAAGTGAGAGGGCCGCTACTATAGCAATCGCAGGTGCCCCTCGCACTCGCATCTCCTTGATTGCATGCCAGCCTTCTTCGCTTGTATGTATTGTAATGTACTTCTCAACATGTGGAAGCAGTAGTTGATCAATGATGGCAAGTTTGCCATCATTGTATTTGATTGCTTGCAGAGTCATTATGAGAGATATGTGGAATAAGTACAAGAATTTTCTGGCAGAAAGATATCAAACAAGGTTGAAGCGGGTGCCGAGCGGAAGAAAGATGTGAAAGGAAAGACCCCACGGCCAGCTCGCTCTTTGCCCATGCATCATTAGCAATTATGGAGCAAAGGTTGACACAATATTTCAGGTGGGGCAACACTCCCCTCACCTCATTTTGCCGGAGCAACGAGTCACATGAATTGGCTTATATGATATATGTCACCTGTACTTTTATCTGATTTACTCCAGAGTAGTACATAGTTCTCTATATGCACTTAAGTAACCGTACGTCCAGTTAATTTCTTCAAGCTGCCAAATGAACGCAAAATTCGGCATGTGCTTTGGTAAATCCCAACAATCGGCAGAGGCAGCAAACACTCAGTAATTCACATTCTATCCAGAGTCTATTATGTAAATTTTATTAGGCCGTAATATCATAGCCCGACAGTAGGGTTGTTCTGTTTTCGGGTATCCCAACGACAGCGAGGAAATACTCGGTGTTAGGTGACTGGAGGGTTATTTGTGTTACAGAGTTCGGGTAGGTATTATATAGGGCTTTTAAATTGTCGTGGTGGCAATCAATACAGGGGCAAAAGTAAAGCCTCCCCTATGACTGGAGCTGTCATGGGAAAGATGATCCGACGTTGATAGGACGGCACTAGACGTGAGTATAGGAAAGGCATTGGTCACTGAAGTTTTTCCTTTTTTCAGCCAGCTTGCTGTTATTGTGGTACCAGCAATTTCCCTCCTTCCCTCGCATCTGATATGCCATGTTGGGACATTTTGTAGCTTGATTTGGCGGACATAGCGCGGTTTAACCGATGAGTGACAATGCTACTCCGTAAAAATCACCCATCAGAACCTTAATTTGCAGAGATGTAAAGCACTACAGTAGGTGAATCCAGAATTAGAGCTATAGCCTTGCTAGGACAGGTCGATAGAACATACCATTATTTCCTCGCACAAAGGCATCTCCATAACTTCGCCTTAGCTTCCCATTCACATATTCCTCGGACCTTTCTAGGGCAATATTCATGTAACCATCTACTGATTGAAGTTCACCTGGCCTGATATTAGTAGTTGCGCCAAGATCATAGCTCTAGTGAGAATAGGATGGGGTGACCTTTGTAGACAACGCCGGAGTTCAACTTCACAGTGACTGGGGCACCAATAATCTCACTCAGAAAGACTGATGGATCTTTGCCTTCTGATGCAGTGCTATTCTCCATGTCTTCTTTTATTTGATCTGTCTCCAGTTCAATGCGCGGTAGCAAGGGAATACTTGCTAGCAGTTGCTATTACTTGTCTGACTGTCCCACAAGTGCACGTGCCTTAGAGATCAAGTTCTTGGCGTTTTTCGGTAACTAAGGGTCTGGGATATTGAAATGCTATTAGGGTCATGGGTAGTGCAGTGTACTTATTTTTTAGTTAAAGACAATCAGTAAGTAGATGGCAATCCTACAAGATTTAGTTAATATAATTTATATTAGCTCAGGACCTTTGGGTTTAGTGATGTTTAATAGTTACTTGTCGTCTCCTGAGTCCTGACCAACTGCAATGGAAGAGGCTTGGCCCAGCGGGTGCTGAATAAGCATCCTGCAAGCCAACATAACTGGTAAACGAGCTGCGCATGCAAGCTAGCTACGTAGGGGCTTACACGGGGGGGTCACGGAGAGAATTCTGCCGTTTCTTTAATTTCTGACCCCCAGGAGCTATTTCTTACTAATCTTAAGCTTAATAAGATAAAAATCTCTGACCCTCTTTAAACTTTTCGGGCTTACAGCTCCGGAGGGGGGGGGGAGTCAGGATTTAGTGGCTGGGGGTCAGTGTGGGGCGGAGAAACTATCTCCGAGGGGGTCAGAAGAAATACTGCCGCTTCAATATAATATATTAATGGGGTCCCAGTTCCGAGGGGGTCAGGATTTAGTGGCTGGGGGTCAGAGTGGTTCTGACCCCCCGAGAGATCTACCGCCTTTGTCACATGATAAGATCTCCGAGGGGGTCAGAACTTTATATATTATATAATCAAGCTCTAAGGGAGTCAGAAATTTTTAATAATTCTGACCCCTTTAGAGTTTTAATTTTAGCTATTTTAAACTATATTTAAACAGGAAAGATTTTAAGATTTAATTAATTTTAGATTATATTTAAATAATATTTAAAATAAATTTAAACTAAATATATTTTAATATCTTTTATATATTATTAAATAATAAAGACTTAAAAAACTGTAGTAGTCATGTGACAAATCTCTAAGGGGGTCAGAAAATACTCCTCCTAATTTTTTAAGATTAGTAAGAAATAGCTCTGAGGGGGTCAGAAATTATAATATTATGTGAAGCGGCAGTATTTTTTCTGACCCCCTCGGAGATGGTTTCTCCGCCCTACCCTGACCCCCAGCCACTAAATCCTGACCCCCCCGGAGCTGTATGCCCTATATTAATTTCTGACCCTCTCAGAGCTATTTCTTACTAATCTTAAAAAAATATTATCTACTTTTCTGACACCCTCAGAGTTTTGATCAGATTTTAGCTACTTTAAACTATATTTAAACTAAAAAGATTTTGAGAGTCAATAAATTTTAGTGTCACATACTTCTATTTTACTATAGTTAACCGCTGTTACGCCCGGGGCTTTGTCGTCAAGTCTGAGACCAGTTAATGGATCACGCGTATGGGGTTACTAACCTGAAGTCGTCCTTTGACTTCTGTTGTCAGTGGGTTACAGTCTTAGTAGGACGGGAGTCGTGGGTGGACTGCTGTCAACACAAGACTGCCGCCGATACTAGACTGCTGTCGATACTAGACTTCGAGTCCGAAGGGCCAGATCTATTGAGTACATATATCCAATAGTTCAAAGAGTACAAACAAGTTAAGACTGGTCTTGCTACTAAAGATAACTCTGTAATAACTAAGTAAATTGATTATAAAAAACTAAATTAAATATATAAATAAGTATTCTTATATATTCTGTAGCTGGCTACTCCCGCTGTGACTCTCTTGGGGATAGGTAGTAGAGTATATCTAATTATAGTATATAGTGCTGTATACTCCCGGTATACTCTCTCTGGGATAGATTCCGGAGTAGATATTATATAACTAAACTGGTATCGGTCCTTTATTTATTGTTATATCGGATATAGTTATTCTTTGGTAATCCCGTAGTTGGTTTCAACTTTCAGTCCTTATTGTTCTATAATATTCTGCCTTGTGTGTCCATCTTCGATAAGGTACACTAGACAAGGGTCTGTAACAACCGCCTGCTATACTATATCTATGTCCATACAGTGCACTGTGCACTTAATAAAAAAAACAATTTACTTCTATATAATAAATTGGTAGTATATCTCTAATAATAATATTTTAAGAGATTCTCAGAGAATATATTTATATCTATTATTTTATTTATTAAAATTGTATAATTAAAATTATAATTAATATAATTCTATTATAACTGAACTAAAGATTGTAATCACTATAATAATATTAAAAGTATTAATATTTAAAATATTTATTTTATTTATTTATATATCTTATATATATCTGAAAATTATTAAATTAATAGAGATTAATTAATTAATTACTTAAACCGGTTATAATTATATAATAGATTTTAATAATAATATATAAATTTATTTATATTTTATTTTAATATAATATATTAAGTATTTAATGGAATATTTTAATTTATTAATAATTAAATTATTTATTATATAACTGTATATAATATAATTATTATTATTAAAATCTAAAGATAAATTCAAAGAAATATTAATATAATTAAAATCAATTATATTTTCTTAAAAAAATTAGATATTGTCACATATCTCTATTCTACTCTAGCTGACCGCCTTCCGCGGTATATCCGCGCCTATACAGTATATCTAATAAAAGGAATAACTTATTTTTATATACTAATTTAGTAGCATATCCCTCTGGTAACAATACTCTAAGAGATTCTTAGAGAATATATCTTTATTTATTATTCTACTATTCAGAATCTTATAATTAATACTAATTTATTATAATTAATCAGAGACTCTAATAACTATAATAATATTAAAATTGTTAATATTTAAAATATCTATATTATCTATTTATATATTTTATATATAGCCAAAAACTATTAAATTAGTAGAGATTATTTAATTATTTATTCAGATTAACTATAGTTATATAGAAAATCTTAATAATAATATATAAATTTATATATATTTTATATTAATATAATATACTAACTATTTTATAGAATATTTCAATTTATTAATAATTAAAGTATTTATTATATAACTACAGAGTATATATAATATAATTATTATTATTAAAATCTAAAGATAAAATTAAAAAATATTGTCAGCTGCCCTAAACCTAAAGCGGAATAGTCTTAGGGCAGACTAGGAAAGGTCAATATATCAAAAGATAAATGATTGATTAGATAACTAAATCAAATAGAAAGCTAGGGTTGCCTGACTAGGAACCCTAGGTCAGATAGAATAGGAAACTAGGGCTCATTCAGATAGGGCCCTAGGTCAGATAGATTGAAGAAGGCAACTAGGGCTTAGGCAATCAAAGCCCTAGGTCAGAAGAATTGAAGAGATTGAAAGAATAAATAGATATCTGATAGTCAGATAGTTGGTTGACAATCTGCTTGAGAAAAAATAGGAATTTAGAAAAAATTGAATCAGGCAGGGATTAGCAGGCTTTTTATATTTAATTAGGGCTAGTCAGTAGAATCAGTAAATATAGAAATAAGTCATAATATAACTTATTCTGACTCACTAGGTATGACTTATAGAATATAACTTATAGAATATGACTCACTATTTCAACTATAGTTAAAATAAGATTTCAGGCTAGTCCCAATTAGGCAATTTTCTAGAATATTTTCTAGAAGGAAAATATATCTCTGATATTATCTAATAAGGAAATTTTTTAGAAAGATTCTAGAATATTTCCTAAATAGGAAATATATCTCCAATATACCCCCCCAGATTTAAATATCTATTTTTAAATAAAAATAGATATTAAATCTGAATAGAAATCAGTAGGTAGGCAATATTGAAAAATTGATATAGAAATCAGATTGAAATCGATAGAAAAAATCGAATAGATTGAAATAGGACAGATTCAATTTAGGCCCTAGAAATTGATAAAAATAGAATAAGATTTATTCAATTTAAAGCCCTAGATTGAATCGATTTTATCAAATTAATCAGATATATCTATTATATTTAGATATCTTAGAAAAATCTGATATTTCTGATTAGGTAGATTTTTAGTTAGGCTATCTGTAGATATCTAATTAGTTGGTTTCCAGATAATATCAATATTTTTAGCCCTAATTTCTTGTCTAAGCCAATAATTTTAAATATTAATATATTTCAGCTTAGATCTATATATAGAATAGTTATTTATAAGCAGTTGAATAGTCTACTTATTATTATATTCTATATAAAGTTTCTAATTAGGGTTAAACTCTAGAGCCCTAAATAGATATTTCTACTATAGGAATTATCTACTAGCACTAGTTAGGGCTAATAACTCGGTCTCGGTAGTAGATAATATAACTGTTTTCTGTTTCCTAGCTGACTAATCTATAGGGCTACTATATAATTTGTAGATATATTCTTCAGAGTTCTTTTTGTCTGAATAATCTGCAAAAGCAGTATCACTAGTCATAGAAAAAATAGGGCTAGGACTAGAGTTTAATTTTAATACCCTAGTTTGATTTGATTGATCAAAATCTATAGAACTAGGGCTATACCCTGAATATTCTATAGATAGATATCGGGTTCTATATAGATATAGAATTATATAATTAGTAGCGACTATATACCTAGGACTAGGATTTAGTAGATTTTCTAATAGGATCTAATAGATTTTTACAATATCAGACCTAGATATAATCGATATATATAAAATTAAGCCGATTTTTTACTGATATTTATAAATATATAGGGGTGAGGCCCTATATAGGAGATTAGATAGGCCCAATTTTTCTGCCGGTAGGGAAATTCTAGGTATTTTCTAATTGATCAGATAAAAGCAGTGAGTAATTTTATTAATATAATTTACTTGAGAAATCTAGATTTTTCTATTAGGGCAATCTCTAATAATTTTTATATTAATAAATTTAGTTATTTCACCTAGATCCTTTATCTGATAGATAGATAATAATCGATTTTTAAAATCGATTATTTTTTGATGATTTTTATAATAATATATTAAAATAATATTATCTATATATATTATCAAAATAATATAGTTATTTATATATAGGCAGAGATTTTTAGAAATAGGTTTAAGCTCTAGAGATTCTAGGGTTTATCTTATATCTTTCTATTATAAAAGCGGTGACTGCCTTAGACTATATAGGGCTCTATTCAATTTTAGAGCTCTATTTTTAGACCTGTATCCAGATAATTATGAAATATAGATTATTTTATTAAGAAGACTATTCAAAAAGATATTTATTGTATTTAATTGAATAGCTTCTAGATCAAAAGCAGTAATTAGGGCTAGAATAGTTCTAAATATTCTAGAAACTAGGGTTAGAGCCCTAGTTTCTAGTCAATCAGAGGCTTATAAATTATCTCTAATACAGATCCTGGCTTTAAATCCTATTAGGAA